TAAATAACAATAAGAACATTTTTGGACCAAAATATTGATGACGAGGGCATTTTTGGATCGAACCATAAACGGAGGGAATTTTTGTTCATTTCACATAGTTTAAAGGGCATTTCTGACCCTTTTCCCTTCTTTCTACTTTATACTTGAGAGTTATTAGCCTTGAAACTTGAAAGTATAAATTTGACCAACATAGAAAAATTAAATGATAAATTCATATTCATTGGTTAATTTAATTAATAAAAATAAATTAATTTATGTTCATTTATTGAAAACTTGACTTCAAGAAAATACTAAATAAATTTACAATAGGAAAGGAGGGAGTACTTTTCACTTTTGAATTTGGATACCTATTTGATTATTTAGCTCCCATTTGGCCATAGGTTTCAAAGTTGAAAATTGCAGTTACAAAATGTGTTTGGACCTATGTTGCTCGGACCCTTCAAAAATGCCAACGGGTGCGTGTCGGATTCGCCAAAAGTAGTGTATTTTTGAAGAATCCGAGACGGGTGCGGCATCAAAAGTGAAGAATCCGCGCAACTAAGGTTTGGACATACATTTTACTTGGAAGAAAATTGAACTTTTACGAGTGGAACTCCCAAAAATGGGTTTGAGCGTGTTTTGAGGGAACTTGAAAATATTTGAAGATCAGATTTTGGATCAAATTAAATAGATATTTGAAAATAAATTTTCAAAAACTACTCCCAAAATCTATAATCAAAAGCTAGCTTAATTTATGGAAATGGACCAAAAATGATCCTTAAGCTATTCAAAATAGAACAAAAGTGTATTTCCTTTGATTTTTCATCAAAAAATGTATGGAATTACTAGTAACAGAACAGAAATAATAAAAGGGAATGCTGATGTATATGTTGATGGAGAAATAGTTTAATGAAATTGGTATTCTTGAAAATTGTTTAAGTTATATAGTATTGAATAATCTCAGCATCTTAAAAAAAGAAAATGTCATATAAATTGAAATCGAAGAAGTATTATAGATTACATTGTTAGTCTAACTGAAGCTTTGCTATTCTGCTTACATTTGTTGTTTCATGTTATTGATCGTCTTTCGGTATCTTTTTGTTATTTGTTCAGCTTGCTGGAGGCAATAGATTACATTCTTGAAGGCACCCAGAATCTGGTTATACCAGTCCAAAATTACATTGGCGGAAAATCAAGGAAAACTCAGAGTAAATCATCCTCCCTGAGTTGCAAACATCGCGATGGAGTTGAATACTGCTGGCTAACGCAAGAAGATGTTGTCCGCTTTCTTCTGAACTTTATTGGTGTGTTCTCCCCTATCACCATTTCTTCAATTGAATCTCTCAACATCATAGATTGTAATGTGATGACTATTCGTTACCATGAACCTGCAATGTCTGCCTTAGATTCCCTTACTCTTGCACATGTTGAGCAAACTTCAGTGGCAGTTGTTGATGATCTCGACAGATTAATTGGTGAAATCTCCCCTTCGACTCTTGCCTATTGTTATGAGACTGCAGCAGCAGCAGTCATGACACTTTCAGCTGGTGATCTGTTGGCTTACATCGACTGTGGTGGTCCTCCAGAGGACTTGGTTGATCTCGTGAAGGTGATATTACAAGAGAAAAAGCTTGGTGCATTATTGGAACTAATGGATGAAGAGTTGTCTTTGTCTTCGTCATCATCATGTTCTGTTTCTAGTTGTTCTTTTGATGACGAGTTAGGGGTTTGCAGAAATAATGGCTCAGGACGATATTCGTCAGCTAGAAGGGCAGAGGCCATCACTTGTTATTCAAACAGTTCATTGGTTGCTGTGATGATTCAAGCACTTGCACATCGTGCAAGTTCCGTTTGGGTCATGCATGAGGATAACACTTTGATTGGCTGTGTAACTTTTAAAGGAATCCTCAAAGTTTTCAGGAGCCTTGCAAATGCGAGGCCGATAACCAGATAAGGAGAATTCAGTGAAGCAATAACATGTTATACTCAAAATTCTTTCAAATTGCAAATTTTGCACAAACGGGAGCCCTTTCTTTTTTGGTGGTGGAGTGAAAAAGTTGTAGTTAGTTTTGGAACTTATTAATCTTGTATATGTTGTTTCCAATGGTCATTTTCTTAGTGGAAGTTACAAATATCAATTTCATGAATCATGGCCATGCAATGGAAAACTTTCCCAGGATTGTGGTGGAGTGGTAAGTACTCCTTCATCTTCAATCAAATGTGTTAGGCTTGAGTTTCTCTGGGTACGGACTCACCTTTGTTAGGGACCATTTTTCCCTCAATGTGGGACTTCTCGGCACGAATTCGAATTTAGTCAGGATACCGGACACCATCATAAATAATTGTTCATCTGATTCATTAAAAAACAATATTATTAATGAATATAAAAGACTGTCTGATCCATGAATCCCACACCTAACCATTTTGGTTTAGGCAATTAAAAACCATATGAACCTACTCAAACAGAAAAGTATTTTGCAATAGAATATACTATCTTTAGTTGGTATTAGAAAACAAGTTTAGATTACTTTTTCAAATTTAGTATACAATTTCAAGTTGGATTTAAAAATATTATAATTAAACATTAATTTTGAAGTCAAGCAAAAATTAAATTAAATTGGTAACTAAACACGTTTTATTACCAAAAGTGACAGTGTACGGCTCAAATGAAAAAACCAAACAAAAAACAAGCCTATAGACAACTAACTAGACAGGCCAGAAAGCCTCTTGGGCAAATAGGTATTATTTTTGCCTCAAATTATATATATTCCGTCCGAACTAATTTACGTGACGTTTTTCAGATTTCGAGATTCAAACAAGTCTAGCTTTTACCAAAAATTGACATATTGAATATATATATTTCTTTAAAAAAAAACATTGATTAGGAGGCTTTTTTTGACTATTTTATCTTCATTTATGTATTAAGGTATAATTTTTCATTATTAATCTACTTTGTTGAGGTAATCTTTATGAACAATTATGATATGAAAAAAAAGTTACAAATTTGTGAACTCATAATTTATTTATATTTATTTTAAATAGGTTTAAAGAATGATTTAAAAAATAAATAAATAAGGGAGGTAGATGTAATATCGTTAATCACATGGGAGGTAAGTGTTATAAAGCAAAATCTGAAGGGATCTTTCTAAAATTATTTCTAATTTAAAATAATAAATAATTTGAGATAATTATTTTTAAAAATTAGATAAATAAGTTGAGACGAAGAAGAATAATTAAACTAAAAGTTGGTAAGGATTCAATCATTAAAGTCAGATAGTGATGTTTGACATTTATAGATTTTAAAAATAATGATACTCCTATATTAATATTTCTTCATACGATATTTTTTTAAATCTAATCGTTATCTTGCTTTTCAATTGAAAAGTCAACGAGGTTTATCTAAGATAATCTTATTGGTATAATAAATTAATTAAATTGTCATTAGCTGGATTCATTATCCAGTAGTTGGATTACAACCTAAACCAAATTACCCGTTTTAGTAAATTGAATATACATTATTCAAAATATTCGATATTTTTAAAAAATATTTAAGTGGTTGCATTATTACTGATGTTTTTATGATTTACAATATTTGAATTGAGGATCCTTTGGAACAATCTCACTATTGCGAATTAATTCCCACGTTAAAGGTTGAAAAGAAAAAAATCATATCACGCTATGTAAAAGTATTTTAAAGTTATTTGGCCTAATAACTAATATCAAAGTTAATGATTCGATAAAACAAATAAAGATAATGGAGTGTGGTTGCAAGGCCTTAGTCTATTGGGTCAATTGCAGTACCTTTACTCGTAAATTGTAGACGCTTATACATAATGATTAATTTGAATATTTTGAATGACATGTGATGTTAAATTCAAAATGTTACACCTTGCGAGTGAAGATTTAACTTCTATCTGTGATTTCTCTAAAAATTAACATGCCAAATGCTATCTTTTCCTTTAATATGTATACTGAATTGTCGTATAAAAATTTATAGTATCAAAATTGTTTAATTCAAAAATTATTCGCATGTCATGCTTAAGACAACAAAATTAAAGAACGATTTTAATATATTTGATTTATCTTTATTTATGATCACATAATTCAATAAAATTATTTACTTTCTTATGCTCTATCAAATCAAATTAGATCAAATAAATTAAAATAAAAAATAATTAAAATGTAAACTCACAAAAAACTAATAATATTTCAATATATTTTTTAACCATGAAAGAAAAAAACAATTTAAAAGGAGGATTAACGATAGCGGTCATTAGTGCGTGGAGCGATAAAGGGAACATTATTATATATATATATATATGATAGGTAATAAATACATATTATATTGAGGCGAAGTTAGGTAAAATTGAGAGGGTTTATTTGAATTTTTTTTCAGTGAAAAATTATTTTATTTATATATGACTTATCAATTGTACACAAAATCAATTATATTCGTTCAATACCTACAAAATGTTAGGTTTAAAAAATCAGGATATCATATGGAAACTTATAATGCTATCTATCTACATATTATAAGACTAATATTGAAAAAGTATAAACATATTAGGAGATTTTACATGAAGATCTTCAATTGATAGAGTTTTAAGGTTTTCCTCTAAGGAAAAATTAACCAAATATAAAAAAGAATTATATTTTCTTTTCGAAAAAGTAAAAATATTTATGGTAATATTTTGACTTACTCTAAAAGAAAAAATAAAACCCAAATATGATAAGAAAATTAAGGCAAAACCCTAACAAAAAGTTGTAACTTTTTTTTTAATATAATTTCGACAAATAAATAATATGACATTTTCAACTTGCGAAAGCTATTCAAATATAATTAATTTTATATCTAAATTCAAATGGTGACATATCGATTATGTTTGTAAATTTAATTCACAATTTACCCATGAAAAAGTAGTTGTATTTATATATTTAAAAATAGTATAACCTCTACGCCACGTGTCCCACTGATAACTACAACTCCTTTTTCCTCTTCTTTTATACAAGAACGAAGGACTGTTACAGCACCATAGTTTAATTTTTATCACTCACAAATTCGAAAAGAAAATTCTAAAAATATTTTCTGAGAAGAAAAGGGTGTTGAGAATTAGTGATACTGATGATGATTCTTTGGTTTTGAGGATTTTTTTGGGGGGTTTTGGTGTAGAAAGGGGGGAAATTGAGGAAAAGGGTGTTGAGGATAAATTATGGTGATGATTCTTTGGTTCTGAGGAATTATTTTTGGGTTTTTTGGGTGTTTGAAGGGGGAATTTTTTTGGGATTGTGTGGTGTTTTGAAGGGAGAAATTGAGGTAAAGGGGATATGTATACAGGAGGTTTAGGAGGGCCAATGAGAAAATCATTTAAAGATTCTCTCAAAGTTCTTGAAGCTGATATTCAACATGCCAATACACTGTAAGTCAACTTTTGTATGTGTATTGATATCTGAAAATTTTATGCTGTTTTAGAATCATAGTATAATTTTTTTCACCCTTTTGAGTTTTTCTGGTTTCTACCCTGTTTGAGTTATCTTTTTTTTCTTTTTTTGTTTTCTGGTTTTGTTTTCTTTCAGCAATTTTGGTTCATAAATATCTTTTACTGATATGGGGTTTTGTTAAGTTTTGATCTTTTTATTGATTGTTCTGTATTTTGATACTTTTGTCCTTTGGTCTGCTGCTAACAATAAAGTCAAGATCTTTTTTGGGGAGGTGGTTAATTAAGTGAGTTTGATTGTGAGACTGTTTTTAGCCACCAAAATGGGATTTTTGTAGTTGGTAAGTGAATAGTGGCAGAAAGTAGATATTTTCCCCTGTTCTTTTTTTGGTTTTCATTGTGTTATAAGTGTTAGTTTGATGTTCACTTCTTTGATTGCTTCAATCTGAGATAAAGGTAACATTTTTTGTGATAATTGATACTTATCTTGTAAAGTGTCTGCAGTTCTAATATTCTTATTATGGAACTTTATTTGAGAGCTCTCAAGGCTTTACCTTTTTACTTTTTTGTTTCTACCATTGGATATTTGATTTTGCAATGTGGTGTTAGAGCTGAAAATTTGTACCAAGAGAGAAAATGGTTGGTTATTTTATAGGTCATTTTTCTCTCCACTAGTGGTTTTCTGATAATCCTTTGGTTTTCTCTTTTATCCTTTTTCTAGTATTGAACTGGTGTCTTGAGCTAGCTTGCATGCACCTCGAGTAATCCATCAGCCTGTCCTGCTGATAAGCACAGGTGTCTTAAGTAAGTCTGTCCATCGAGATTACAGCAGTTGGGCTCACAGCAAGTGTTGCTGTACCTATTTGAACCTAGGATCTTTTACTCCATGCCTCAATAACCCATCTCCTTCAGGGGGGGGGGTCCTTTCTTTATCTTTTAGAGGGTATTTATTTTTCTTTTTATCCTGGCGGCTGGGTGGATATACCAGCAACCCAGTGCCGACATCTGCTTTCGCTAAGGCCGACTTGGTACAAGTAAGGCTCTTTGAGGCAACACTAAAATGAAATATTAGCTTAGCATTTACACATGGCATACCTTCGGTATCGGAATAGACCAATTACCCACCTTTCATTGATGGCATTACCATAATAAAGATCATTAAGAAAATGTTTTGTCGCTATTGGTGATTTGATTTGGTGACAATCATTCTCTGTTTGTGGTGAATGTTTCCCCTGACCTTGTAATGTGGTGTTCACCTCTTCCCTCTTGTTTGGTCTTTTTTCATCTGATGGTGTTGTTTGGAATGCAGTGCATCTGACTTTTCGGGGGAGTATGATGGTGCTTGCTTACAGATGCGAATGTCCTACAGTCCTGCAGCACACATCTTCCTTTTCTTAGTGCAATGGACTGATTGCCATCTTGCTGGTGCCCTTGGTTTGTTGAGAATTCTTATTTACAAGGTTTGTGTTTGTTCTAATTCATGCATCACCACATTCCTTTTTTTTTTCTTCAAATGCCAAATTCTTCTCTTCTCGGGTATTCAATTGAGTATTACCTTGCTACAGGTACATGTTGATGGCACAACAACCATGTCAACTCATGAAAGGAAAGCAAGCATTAGGGAGTTCTATGGTGAGTTTTTACATTTTTCTTCTGTTGATCTAATGACATAAATACTTCTGATAAATCATGTAAAGTTAGATACCTGTTGCTTATAGACATCAATCATCTTTGTCCAGCTGTTATTTATCCCTCTTTAGTTCAACTTGAAAGAGGTGTCACAGACTCGGAAGACAAAAAACAAAACGCAGTTTGCCAGGAGAGATACAAGAGACGAGATGATGAGGATTACAGACAAGCTTATGATCTGGACATTGAAAGGGAAGATGAATGTGGAATTTGCATGGAGGTGAACAGCAAAATTATCCTTCCCAACTGCAATCATATAATGTGCTTGAAATGCTATCGTGAATGGTATGTTTCATATGCACATTTTGATACATTAATTGAATAAGCTGCTAGTAAGTAAAAAATTAGATATCATCCTGTTCAGTTCATGAATCTAGTGACAAGATCCTTAACTATCGCCTAAATCCCCCAAACCAACAAAAAGAAATAGAAATAGAGTTTTCCTGGAGAAAGAGGACATGTTGGCATTTTAGAGACCAAATAATCATAAGAGGAGTGAGTCAATTGCACAGGGAATTACTTATGCTTATTTTGTTGGCTAAGATTATTTCTTTAATGCTTTGGTTTGTCCCCCCCCCTCCCCCCCCTCTCCAACAAATTGGAAACATCTGATGGGTGAAAATCACACGTGGCACAACTGTACTGCTACATATCTTGTACATAGACTAAAGCTATCACGTGCACAGAGTCCATGGATATGAGGTTTTTTTGATCTTTTCTTTAAGGTGTTGGACTTTGTTATATAGTTGTTATTTGATGATGAAAATGTTACTGAGAGGCAAACAAAATAAAATCAAATACTATGGGTGATAGTACTAATCTGAAATAATAATTGATGTAGATTTATTTCAATGGTAGACTAATACTATTTACTTACCTTTATCCTTAACTGTCAATCAGGCAATGAGTAATACAATGTCACTCCATTTCTTTTAGCTGTTCTACATGAAATTAGAGTTTTTATGCAAATTAAGAGGTATATAAGAAAAATCTTTCCTCTGCATGATCCAATACTGCAGCTGGGATGTTTTATATTTTGCCTGCTAAGTAGGTAATTATACACGAGTTTAAAACTGAAGCACATCTCTATTCTCTATCTTTTAGATTTGGACTGACTTCAGGTTCACTGCTTTTGACATGTTGCTTGGAACTGTTTTTTAGAGTCCCAACTCAGTTGTCTGTAGCATGACCATTGTTTCTTTCCTCCTTCGGCCTGGGGAAGGGCCACTGATTGAACTGCAAGTGGGAATCGCAAAGGAAACAGTATTGCAATAACTTTCAAGAGGGATACACCTCCTAAACTGGTGTTTCAGTCATAATATGTAGCACTTCTTTTTCCTGCATTGAATATTTGGTAGTACGCAGTATGCTAGGATCCTAGGCACTCTACAATTCCTCTGACACCAGATGCTTAAAAGTGTTGAAACTGGAATGATTTGCTCGTCCGTGTAACCACACTTGCTCACTTAAGATACTTTCCATTACTCGAGCGTTGTCTCTGGCCACCTTTTCTGTGGTGACTACATAAATTCCAATATAATTCACTGTTAAAAATATATCATATGAAGGTCAACTTCACAATTCTGAGGGAGATGTGATTGCTTGGAAAGACAGATTAATGGCTATCTCCATTAATGATCGTAATTGGTAAAGCTAAGAGATAAAACGGTTGTCTCTTCATGAGAGCCTCTTCTTATGAAGGAAGTGATAAAACCAGCCTCCCATTGTTCTCTAAATGGACAAAGAGGCGGCAAGTTGCTCCACCCCTGAAATATTGTTAGGTATACTAAATGTGATCTTGAAATGTCACACCTACGCTGACTTGAGTAGTCTATTATTTTTTCTCTTCGCTGTCCTTTTTGTGGCATAAAGAGTGGCCAGGGTTCCCCATCTCTAATTTCTTGGACAAACATTAGAATGACTCTTAGCACTTATTGACAACAAATGTTCGTTCATTTAGGAGGTACATCCCCAACCTTATTCATCTCTCTTTTTTTGCTCACCTCCGAGGCTAAATAGTTTCACCCTATGCTTGATGGTCTGGATTTGTCTCCTCTTTTCTTCTTTTTTTTGGGTGGATATTGAAATTATGTATGGAGACCTATGAACTGATCTAGTATTGTTCCCATGTACGGAGAGACAATTGCTTAAGCATCTAATATGTGGAATGTTTGAGTTAATACAAACTAATGGGAAATGATAGCTAGGGAAAGAAAAGAAACTAACATCTGTGTTTCACATATGTACCTTTTGGGCCATAGTCAAATCTACTTACATCCGACGGTTTCAACCTTTCTAAAAAACTAGACCTGTAGCTGTATCTCTTCTATTTTAGTGCACATATTCTGTTTATTTCATCTTCCTATAATGCACATTAACAAGATCTTCATTGATGCACTGCAGGCGTTCGAGGTCACAGTCGTGCCCCTTTTGCCGTGATAGCCTAAAAAGGGTGAGCTCGGGGGATCTGTGGGTATATATGGACAGCAAAGATGCTGTGGACATGACAACAATTACAAAGGAGAATCTAAGAAGGTTGTTCATGTATATAGAGAAGTTACCGTTGATCGTGCCGGATAATGTTTTCGACACATATGATGATACTCATCTAAGGTAGAGGAGAAATGGCCTATTGGTTATCTTGTTGAAATTGGTCATATGCAAGATTTAGAAAATGGAGGTTATGGTATTGGATTTGGTGATGCTGGGTTAGATATGAAGGTGTTGGTTCCTTTTCCACTACCTTGTGATTAGAAGAAATCCAGCCTGTATTATTGGGAGCATATACAGAGGGCGGAGCCAGGATTTGAACTTTATGCGTTCAATCTAAATTCTAGGATAGTAACATCGAATGTTAAGTTAACTGGGGTTTAGATTTAATTATGTACATATACAGTGCATTTCTCTTGAGACAAATATGACTAAAGTTACTAAGTTCAGTTGAACTCGTGTGTTGACCTCTAGCTCCGACCCTATTCGGGATTGAGAAGCTAAGTTGGATTTAGCTAAAAAGAGCTTTATAATCCTGATTTGTACGTGCATGTAACAGTTGCTTCTTAACACTACAATCTCTTTGGTTTCTCAGTTTTATAAGTGTTGGAGTCATTAGGGGTTTTTAATATAGAGAATTAAATATGGAAAAAAATTAGGGGAAATTAAGCAAATATTCCATAAAAGTAAAATAATTACAAACATATATCTTTTTATATTCATATCCCACTAAATAATAACACTATATACGTTTCGAACAAATTTTGCTTATTGATACGAAATCAATATCATATACTGTATTGATATTATTAAGGCTGATGATTTCATTTAATTGATATTAATTCAGTATATATAAACGCTATTGGTATTATTAAGGTTTCTTTTTCAGAAATTACTCATTATATACTGTTATAGTATCATTGACTAATAAGTAATTTCTGAACAAGAGATTTTAATGATACCATGATATATATCATTGACTAATGAGTAATTTCTGAACAAGAAACCTTAATGATATCACAACAATATACATATACTCTTTAACTATATATCAAATTCTGAAATAACTAATTTGAGGATAATTTTTCCCCAATCAAAGAAGCCATAACATGGGTAGAACCAAATAGTGGCATAAAAAAAAGACTATTTGTGCAATTGCCATCAGCAGAATCAACATGGTCCATGTGGACGTTTCTTTCTGGGTCCTTCCCAATTGTCATGAGGTAACCCTTCTTTGTTTTTTTGATTTGTTTAGAGAGAAGGGTATCTTAAGTGACGGGAATTATTAGTTTCATTATTAAACTATTGATAATATTAAAAACACTTATATACTTGACTAACTGAACTGATAGATTTGATCTTGCAATATGAGTGTAATATACCTTTAAATTCTCATCAAGTTTAGGCATTTTTAAAACATTTTTCTCGTTTTTTTTATATTAAGAGTCTCATGTTCCAAGCCTCCAACAAGAGTGTGAAACCACTTGCTATGTGTATCTAACTTTAATTAGTCAAATAGAGGGGTGTTTTTAAAATTGTCCCTAATTTCGGAGACGAAACTAATAATTTGAGCCAATTTTCAATATTTCTCTCTTTTTTAGTGTCAAACATCTACATTGGAGTCTGATTAAATCTGAATTCATGCTTTGTAAGACTCATTTCCGAAGGTGACATTCTCAACAAAAGAAATTCAATTTTCAATAATCAAACCCGAAACTTCTGATTAATGATTTAGAGCGGAGAGATTTCAACCGTCCTAAATTGCATATGTAGACCCAATTTCACAATTTTTAAAAAATTATTTAATTAAACTATTAATTATTACTATTATGTTTTTTATATATTCTAATTTAAATCTAAAACCACCCCGCTAATTTAGCTTATTCAAGCTGTACAAGAACAGAAATCAAGATAATATCACACACAAAAAAAGAAAAAAAAAAACAGAAAGACAGAGAGAGAGAGAGAGAGAGAGAGAGAGAGAAAGGGTGAAAAAACAGAAAAGCAGAAATGGGATTTGAAGGGGAAAAGAGAGAAGAGGAAGAAGGTGTAAGAATGGCTAATGATTTCTTTTGGTCATATACAGATGAACCTCATGCTTCTCGTAGAAGACAGATCCTCTCTCAGTACCCTCAAATCAAACACCTTTTTGGTCCTGACCCTTTTGCTTTTCTCAAGGTATAAATTTTATCTTTTATTCATTTTGCTTTTTGGGGTATCTTAGATCTGGGATAATGTTAGGTGGGTAGGGTTAAAAATTGAATCTTTGAGGCTCATTTGGTTATAGTCCTGGGATAATGTTGGGTGGGTCATTTGGTTGGCGGACTAAATTATCTCAGGATTATAGTCTAGGGATAATGTTAGGATTGAATTTGTATTGTGTTTGATTGACATTCAAATTGATAACCAGACACTGTAGAATTAATCTCAATATTTATTGGTTTTGGGTTTTCATTTGATGGCTTTTTAATTTCTTTTTGAAATGTACCTGTGTATGTTTCATTGTGTTTTCAAGGACATTTTTGTTAAATAGAATTGTGGGTTTTAGGTTTTTCTTTGGATTAGGCATTATTTTTAAGGTTAAGGGGTAAATCTATGTGAATTGGAGTCCTTTTAGTTTTTTCTTTGAAGGAATTTGCTTGCTGAATCAGATTAATTCAATTGTGAAATACATAGTAGAGTTTTGAGCCTAAAGGTCTCGTGTGTGGAGTCATCTTGTTAGGAACGTTTTATCCCACATTGTGGATTTCCAGGGGTAAATCCGGATCTAGTTGGGTTCTAATGCAGTTACTGAATACTATATGGGAAACCAATAATAAATAAAATAGAGAAACATATAGTAGTGTTTCAAACTTTTAACTTTTCTGTAAAGTTATCCTCTCCTTCTCTTTTCCTGAAAAAGATGAAGAATTTTGTGTTTATCAGGATTTAGTTCTTTTGGTTAAACTCTTCTCTGGATTGCTCATTATGTGATTTTGTTGATACCAAAACTCAGCAATGAGATTCACATGATTTGGTGCCCTATCTATCTCGTTTTCCTTGATTTTCTGGTGTCATTTTCATAGTTTTACTAGAGATTAATGTTTTGTAATTTTATGTGTTTTGAAAATCAAATCAGTCTTCGAATTATTACTTGAGTCCCTCTCCTTTCTTTCCCCCCTGTTTATTCAATTTTGTGATCAAATCCATTGTCTACAAAGTCCAATATTTTGATTGATAATGTTATGTGATTATATTATATTCTGTCCCAGATGTCTTTTCTTAGGCAGCTTAGTCGATGGTGACAGCAGAAAATTCATGTAACTTTGGCTTGGTCATGTCATAGCCTTTTACTCATTCATGTGTATGCAATTAGACGTCCTTACTAGATTCGTTGGTGGACAACCGTGGACTTTATTGCAGAAGTCACTAGTTATTGAATCTTTCTAAAATATGAGGAACTGGTTACAGGAACTGATTGGTGCTACTAGTTTCATTTAGACTGAGTGCTCACTGTGTATTCTTTTTAAATATTAACCATGCAGATTTCAGGAGTTGTTTTGCTTCAGCTTTGGACAGCTACCTTCCTCCATGATGCAACCTGGTTGAAGATATTGATAGTCGCGTACTTCTTTGGCTCTTTTCTGAACCATAATCTCTTCCTGGCAATTCATGAACTAAGTCACAACCTAGCTTTCTCTACTCCAACCTACAATCGTTGGCTTGGAATTTTTGCCAACCTTCCCATTGGTGTACCCATGTCTGTTACCTTCCAAAAGTATCACCTTGAGCACCATCGCTTCCAAGGAGTTGATGGAATTGATATGGACATCCCGAGCCAAACTGAAGCCCATGTAGTGAAGAATGTTCTTGCAAAATCTATATGGGTCATTCTTCAACTTTTCTTTTACGCATTCAGGCCTCTTTTTCTAAAACCTAAACCACCTGGTGTGTGGGAGTTCATTAATTTTACTATCCAGCTATCCCTTGATGGAGCTGTGGTTTACTTCTGGGGCTGGAAATCGCTAGCTTATCTTATCCTATCCACGTTTGTTGGGGGCGGGATGCATCCAATGGCTGGTCACTTCATCTCCGAGCATTATGTCTTCAAGCCTGAGCAAGAGACATACTCCTATTACGGACCCCTTAACCTCATGACTTGGAGCGTAGGATACCACAATGAGCACCATGATTTTCCAAGAATTCCCGGAAGCAAGCTCTACAAGGTGAAGGAGATTGCACCAGAATATTACGAAAACTTAGATGCTTACAAATCTTGGAGCCAGGTAATCTACATGTACATAATGGATCGAACAGTTGGACCTTTCAGCAGAATGAAGAGAAAATTGTCTACGAAAGCAAACAAGTCCGAATAGGTGCTGTAATAGTCCTCCTCTCTATTCTTTGTTAATTCTTTCAGTGTTACTATGTGATGTTTCGTATTGATTATGACTCTTGGTTCTTTTGTAACAATGTAATAGAGTTCTGGCATCATGTGCAGTAGAGTTGATGTAGCAAGTGACTGAGTTCATCAATTACAACAACATACCCAGTGAAATCCTTGAGTCTGGGAAGGGTAGGATGTATGTAGACCTTACCCGTACCTTCATGGAGTAGAAATGACTGTTTCTGATAGACTCTCGGCTCTAATCATAAATAATCATGTAAAAGTTCATGTGTTATGGGAATTTCCATGTTTATTTTACTGCTTGTTGTCTTAAAAGGGGAAAAAGAAATGGCACATTTTGAAGCCTTGGTTAGGAGTCTCCTTGTAGTTAGAAACAGCCCATATTATCTTCATAAGCATAATATTAGTGTTAACATTAATAGAGAGTTGGCTTGCTTATATTCTCATGATTACATTTTATATGTCGGCGTTTGATTGGACACGAAGTTTCCAAAAAAAGGAGGTTTAGAAATTGTGATTTTAAACATGGCATACATTTTTGTATCGAAAGTTTTAAAAGTTTTCAATCATAAAAATACGTCAATTCTTTTTTAAAAATAGAATATACGTAAAGAGCATCACAAAAAAAACAATGGTCTACTTGATTTTTCTTAAATTTAGACCACAAAAATAATCAGAAAAGTGTGACATAAAACAACGGGTCCTCTACACGAGGTGGAACATCACCTCTATTATCTTTGGGCTAATCGCCTCGTGATATTTCATTAAGCAAATTAAAGCTTGAATTAATCAAAATGTGTCTTTTCCTTCTATATATGAAACTTGTTACATTTTGATTGTTTTTAAAATTATATTACCCTTTAATATAAAGTAATGGTACAAATTTAACATAATATATAATTAATTAAACGATCAAATAGTTAATTTAATAATTTGCACAAGGATCAAATACGTGCATGTTTATCGATTGAAAGTTAAATATGCTTAACCAAATATTTATCACAAAAGATCAAAATCAATATTTATAAATATTTCAAGAACTAAGTGCAATTTCTCAAAACTTTTCAAAAGTAAGTGCAGTATAATAGTCAGAGTTCCACAATTAGCTAGAACTTATCAATTTTTTATCGAAAACAATCTCTCTATACCCCA